GAGCTGTAAGATTTTTTGCTGTAATAGTTCCATACTGGGAAAGTGAAAAGGCACCCTTTACCATTGTCCTGGGGATTATCTGATTTTACTATCGGTTGATCTGGAAGACTTGTGTATTTTATGAGCACAAAATCAAATGTTAAAATTTCTATTTGCAAAGTAAAGAAAAGATGGAACTTTTTTGCTCTTTCAAGATTCATGCATAGTTTTTGTTGGAATGTTGCTCGGATGGATTTGCATTAGAGAACCTAAATGAGAGCTAAAAAGCTCTAATATTTGTGTTACATTGATCTTGGAGTGTGAGAAATACTTCTGGTAATCTGACATCTGTCTAGAGTCAAGGACACCCAGTGGAGTGTTAATTTTTGCAGAGTATGTGGTATGGTACTATTCTGTTTAGACACAATCCCCGATAGCTTTTTAAGTTGGTTAGGAATACAGTTATTTGGGATAGCTTATGTTTGGAGTCAATGATGGGAATCTGCCTTGAGACATGGCTTTGATAAGATTATACAATATCTGATTTATATGAGATGGCTTGAGTGTAGGTAGAGTGCAGTGATATGTAAGTCTAATGCTCTGCTCATAAATTTCTATTTGGGAAGGGAGAATTTTGATTGAATTGACATTTTCTTGTAATGCAGTTGCTGAATCTTTCCTGTGAACATGTGTTGGCATGCGCTTGTTCTTTTGCCTGCTTTATATTGGTTGAGATATTGTTTTGATTGAAAATATCAGAAAACAGCTACAGATTTTGAATTTTTCATTTGCATTTTACCACCAGCCCTGACATTTTACAGTATTCTGTTTTTTGGTTGGTTTGATGTTTGAGTTTATACTGTCTCTTGTTTGCAGACTGGAAAATTGTTGAAAGAGTCAGACCCAGAAGTTGGGCATAAGAAGCCAATAACATCACTGACAAAATCTGCTGATGGTTCCCACTTCCTGACTGGTTCTCTAGATAAATCTGCCAAGGTAGAGTGCCTGACTTTAAGAATTTCTTTTTTCTGATATTTTCTTGCTGTAAAAGTGCTTTGACAATCTCTTGCTTTCTGCAACTTTGTAGCTCTGGGACACCAGAAATTTAACTCTTATCAAGACCTATGCAACAGAACGCCCAGTTAATGCTGTTACAATGTCTCCACTTCTTGATCATGTATGGGTTACAGAACCTTTTTCTTACTCTTCTCACGTTGTACTCGTGCTTTTTGTGAATTTGTTCATCATTCTTTCAGACTCCATTAGAGAGTTTTGCTGCTTGAAAATGTTACAGATTATTGGCTGTCACTCCTTTATTCCTTTTCCATAAAGATCCTTTTTATGTGCTCTGATGAAGCTATCTTGTTTGTCAATTCCCACCATATCTTTGGCTAAGTATATGTAGTTACAATCGTTGAATGGACTTCATTTTGGTAGAATGAATTGGTTTGTAATCACTGTGAAGTATACATAGTTATTGTCGACCACAATTTGTACAACATCAGTCTAGGGAGGCAGATTACTGTCATTACCCTAAACCTTGTGAGCTTATCCATTGGAGGGCTGACATGTCATTGTTTCGATTTAGATTTTGATTTATAGTCTACTAACTGGTAAGATTATTAGCGTACTTGCCTTTTCAGGGCCACAATTTGGTGGACCTAAAATTGGGCTATTTTTGGTTGATGGTTATTGATGATAAATGAAAGTTGATAATTTGTTCAATTATTTTCATCGTTTCATCATTTCATTTTGGTAGGACCTAACTGTTGTTTTTCTTGTAGGTCGTGCTTGGAGGTGGGCAGGATGCATCATCTGTTACCACAACTGATCACCGTGCTGGGAAGTTCGAAGCCAAATTCTACGACAAGGTTACTTCATGCTGATGAACTTTTTATGATACGAAGATCTGTGGTTGTGCAACCTTTTGAATTTGTCTTATTTGATCACTTTATTTTGCAGGTTCTTCAAGAAGAAATTGGTGGTGTGAAAGGTCATTTTGGACCTATAAATGCATTGGCGTTCAACCCTGATGGTGAAAGGTATGTTTTCTGCCACATCTTATTTCTTACTTCTAAAATTTGTGTCAATGAATTTTAATCAGATGGAATTATGAATGACATTCTATTTTTTAACTCACCTTTCTACAGTATCCTTTTTATGTAGTTTTAAACAGTTAATTCTTGCTCACGCACCCAAGAACACTTATAAATATAGTATATGGATTTTGCTATAGCACTCATTAGCTGCAGCGATAGATGATGTGTGCAAGCATGAATAAAATGCCATTCTCTTACATGCAAAATGAATTTTTTTTTTTTTGGCTAATGCATTGGTTGGCTTCACCTAAAGATGATGCATGTATATATGAATCAAGTACAATGCTTGACCTGCCAATTGAATTTCTTTGAATAAGTTTCTAAATTTAGAACCAGTTTATTTAAGGTTTATACAAGGTTATGGATGATATTGTAAAGTGATGTTGCCTTCCTGGTAATGCTGGACACCATCAGATGGCTGATATTTGTGGAGGTGATGGTACAGTTGTCCTTGTAGACTGGCCATAAATTAACCTGGATAGTTTGCACTGTTTTTGAACAAGGTCATCGAAACTTTCAATTTGTAAAACAATGACTATCATTAGTACTGGGGATGATGGTGTGCAAATGTTGAGATGGGTTCTACAAGGTTTGCCAAGTGGTAAAAATCGGGAATTTTTTTTTGAACTTCATGTTAGATTAGTCACAGAGATTTTAGCAATATTATTAAGACAATCAATCATTCAGGAATCTGGAAACAATTATTTTCTGGTGTTTTGCTCTCCCTTGCTTAAATAATGTCAAAGCTTTTAATTACTCTTGAATGCTTCGTCTGATGCATTCTATAATCTTTTTGAACCTGCAGTTTCTCAAGTGGAGGCGAGGATGGTTATGTCAGGCTGCACCACTTCGATCCAGATTATTTCAACATAAAGATTTAGATTGTAAGCATATGTATCAATATCAGAATCTAGCCAATAGAGTTCACTTAGTTAATGTTGGAGAGGATCGAAAAGAATTTTGGTGTGGCGTTGTAAGCTGGAGCGTGGTGCCACACGAGATTCTATTTTTGCACATGCTCTTCATTTTCCTTCTGTTTTACACCGAATTTGTTACAAATTTTTTCTGGGGTTATGAGCAAGGAATTTTTGTCTGGTTCAATGTTCCTATCAGTGCATCTTTATTTCTACAACTGTTTGCTCAAACTTGAAATGTGAGAACTGATATCCAGTTAAATGCTCGTCCTTGAACTGGTCTTTTGTCATTGCAGCTGGGTTTCTTAGCAGCGCTTACGGATTGTCACAGACAGCTGGTGGCGGTTCAAATTTAACCAACATTATGTTATTTGATCTTATTTTATATCAATCAACGACAACAATCCCTAAGGTATTGCAACTATCCCTAAGGTATTGTGAAATTACCGTCATTATTATAAAAAATCCAATGATCCCTCTTGAATTTGAGAAATAGAAAATACAATGTTTCAAAGAAGCTGCGTATTAGAAAAGAAAAGAAAAAATATTAATCATGGGAGAAGACAAGTTTAATGTTTTTGATAAATAAACCATAGTGATTTCAGTTACCTTTTGTTTTTGTTATTATTTCTGTAATTTTTATTAAATTGTCATGCTAGGTTCATTGTTTGGTAGATGCAAACAATTAAATATATGTTAATGATGCAGTAGAGAAGTTGATAAGGAGTCAAGTTCGAAAGAGTCGTTGGCTTGGACACTTGAGTTTCTTGGATTCTAAATTGAGGGATGTGAACGGGAGATCAAGAGTCAGAGAAAGGTTCCGAAGATAACTAGTCAAGTTCGATAGAGGCGTTGATTTTTATTTTCTTGAAAGGTAGGCTGTGAATTAAAAAAACAAATTGATAACTAGCTACAACATTTTTTTAATAAAAACATTTAATTATAAATTGAAAAGTCTATAGATACATTTAACTAAATAAGTTAACATTATCTGTGTCAATAAAAAAAATATTAAGGTTTTTATTCGAATAATTTTTTTTAACACAAAAAAATAAAAATGAATATGCATTTGTTATCAACATGGTTTATAACTTTCAGTAAAAAATATAATTATATATATAAAAAAATCAATGCTTATATACAGTAAAATAAAGTGAAAATGTAAAATCTCAAATTACATTTTTATATAATAAAGAAATAAAACAATGTTATAATTGTTATAGTAAAATACTATTCAATTTTAGTTTTGTACAGTAATTAAAAAAAAAAGTGTAAAGAAAAAAATTTACAAAAAAATTAAAAAAATGAAGATAATAACAAAAGGAATTGTAAAAATAGAACAAGTATAGAGTAATAAATATTAAGTGTAAAGAATAAAAAATAAAAAAAAATTCTAAAAAAAATGTAAAGAAAAAAATATTAAAAAATGAAGATAAGGAAAAAAAAAATGATAATAAACATGCTAAATTTATTATAGCTGCGGTAAATGTTTTTTTTTAATTCAATTATACTATTTTTACATTTAAAAAGGTTTCGTTTTAGTATATTACATGTATAATAATGATTTATCTATGAACTCCATTGCGGAAAGCGGAAAACGGGATGCGGGCAGCTGCAAAAACTATTCTCTTCAATCCACAGTTTAACTGCTTCAACCTTCTTTAAGGTATCCACCAGAACAAAACAGTAAAAGAATTTCTCAAGGTACAGATGAGAATTATTTTGGTAACCTTGTTGATGATTTTTAAAATCCAGTTCAATTACATGCAAAATAATGAAGCCGAGATGGGCAATAACAGTAAGTAGAAACGGAAAACCTTCGAATACCAACGGATTTACAACAAGAATAAAGCGAATATCAAGCTTAATCCTACAATGAATGACTAACATCAGTCTGCTCCCATGTCCAGAAAATTGGGGTGATGACAATTATTTTTATAGTGTTTTTGGATTGTTTCAATGTGATGATATCAAAAATAAAATTTAAAAAATAAAAAATATTATTTTATATTCCTTTTTAAAGGTCATTATTGGATGAAAACTCTTTTTTTCTTCCCTAAACAAGTCTTATTAAATGAAGTTCTACAATCCTGATGGAAAAGGGAGTGAACTTCTAGTGATATATTCATCTTATGGATATCATTTTGTTATTTTTTTTCTCAGATGTGATACCACCAGCTATGCTGCTCATAAAACCAACAGGCAACAACTTCTGTGGCCATTTTTCTGATGCCTGCATGCTTTGACAGTTTTTAACTGAACAGCGAGGTCGATGCTGTTCAATACTGCATTACGGCCTATTGCCACCTCTCCAAATTATGTAGCAACCTTGAACGAATGTATCTCCCTTGGTTCTCTCACAGTTGGTTTTATGTTTTGATTCCTCAATGATGTGATAGCAGTGACGGTGGCACGCGTCATTATTAGCCAAGATGCTGCTGTCTATGACCGCATGTATTGGTTTTCTGGGCTGATCAGAAACCAAAGAAATCCAGCTGCTAACTTCCTGAATAGATCGGATCCTCATAAAGGCTTCAGCATTCAAATCGTGCCTTGGCCATCCAGCTTTTGCTCACCTTCAACAGCTGTTTATTTTGATTGAGGAAATGTATGGTATCCGCCAAAAAAAGTGGAGATATTGAATTGTGATAAAATTTTGTTAATCAGGATTCGGGTAGTGATGGATTTGTGGCGCCTCTGGGATCTTGTTTCGAGCATCTGTAGAAGACCTAACAGAGCATATTATGATTTATCATGTATTTTAATGTCATGCAAGATGATTAGTAGTTTTTGTTTGACTTTTCTCAATGGCAGATTCCCCTTTTTTAACACTCTGATGAAAATACTCTGTTATTGGCATACCAGCGTCATTGCTTGCTTGTGAAGCTTGAGCGTTAGCATGCTGGTAGCAGATTCGGCCTGCCATCCACTATCCAAAATCCAGCACGAGGGAGACGTTTCCATTTTTCTTTAATGCTCCATCCCCTCAATTTTCACTTCTTTGCAGGGAAAGCCACCTCTATTATAAAAGGACTCCGTAGCCATTTCTGCAGCTGGTAAAGATCCAAATATTTCTGTTTATCACTCGAACGTTGACCGAATGTGAATGAAACATATAACCATCATATTTCATACATATTCGATCAATATTCGAGGGATAAACATGGAAATATTCTATAAGCTCTGCGTCAAGCCAGCCAATCAATGGGATGCTACCCAGGTATTTCCAGCTTAGATTTTAGACAGAAAAAAGCTACATCTTGATCAGCGTCACCTGAAGGCTGGAACATATTTCTAGGCCTTCTCCTTGTACTAAACATGTACGATCTGTTAGTACAAGAGGGATGCAGTACAACATTTTGTGTTAGTACGCAAAGGTCAGTAGTACATAACCAAGTCGTAAAATGTTACTGGATCAGGATGGTTTCTGCCATGCCTCGTTGAGTCTAAACCCCAACCATCTCATTATTACGTACAATGACTTGAGAACAAATCTTAACCTTATCTTGAACTCCTGAGAAATGATCTCAACCGTTGAGTAAGAAGGTTGAGGTGATCCACGAAGCTTTATGTCTCTCTACCTTTGAAACACTCTCTCAATTTGACCCAGAATCTGATGGAAGATAAATGGTTAGTTGGGTTGCTTGAAGTGAATGTATCCTAACACTTGTGTGCCTGGTAAAAAGTGAGTTGGCCACAGTTCCTTTTATACCATCTCATTATTAGCATAATCCAGGTCCTAATTTTTTCTTTTTTTACAAGAGTAAGGTTTGAACTCGAGATCTCTCAGGACGAGAAAAGATACTAATGAAGATTGAGTTACAGTTCGTTGGCTGATTCATTAACTATTTAACATCCCAGATTGCTACCTGTCCTTGGACTTCAGACTAATAGATTAAGGGAAGAAGGATTCCCGAATCAGTCATTGACTATGTACTCTGAAAAGTTAAAATAACGAATCATTAATTATTGGCACAAAAGTCCTTGCTCATTGAATCTAGTTTCTCAATAAAAACCATGTTGGAAGAACTACGCTGGGATTTGCGGTTTCTTACTTGTAGGGTTATTTTCTCAAGATAAATTATCTGATCCGATTTTGACCAAGAAGTTGCTGCTAGTAAGCAGCAGTACAGACGGTGTGTGAATCGATTTTTTGCTTGAGGGTTTGGATCTTAACATGCAGTATTTACTCCATGCTGGTTGCTGTTAGTTTCATGTGAAAGGATCAGAATCGTATCTAATAGCTTAACTAGAATTTGGGGGAGTGCTGAAAGCTGAAACCACATCGAGGTTTCTCTTGTTTTTGTTTGTGGTGTATAGATAATTAAATTCATCAAATCTGAATTTTATGATCATGATATCGTATAACACAATACTTGTATAGTCGTTTAGGACTATATGTGCTAAACCATGTTTCAGGACTATTTGGAGCTTGAACGTGAACTTTTAAATTTGAAGTGTGATCCCCTTCAAGTCCATCTGTCGACTGTTTCATTGTTTGATGACAAGCAGTTGGCAGCTGCCTCTGCTACGAGGCTTAAAACTTGACTTCTAATTCTGGCATATGTTTCTGCAAATTGTGAATGGATAGTACAGGACAGGCTTGATGCTAATCTATCAGCTACTGTCAATTGACTGAGATTAAATTCGTTATGATATGCCTTCCTGATTCAAATCCAGCTAGCCCATAATTCACCAAAAATGCTATTTCGAGTTCTTACTTCCTCCTGTTGGAAAAGATAATAAAGTTTCCAGTTCCATGTTTGTCTAAGAGATTTCAAGTAAATGCTTACTTAATGAAGGTAAACTGTGCATGGCTGGTCATTGGAGTTTGGCCGTTCTTTCAGGCAGTGGCAGATGTGTTAATTGGATGACTTCAGAATGATGAAAGAAACAGCAAAGAAAAGCTAGAAACCTAAAGTGATTGGATCTTGATCCTGAATTTTTCCAGTGTAGTTTTTGATGTATTCATTGGTAGATAGCTTGGATTATAAATCTAAATCAAATGAAAACAATTAAGTAGCTTGCATTATCTATTTCAATTATTTTTTCTATAAATTTCTGCAATTTTGTATAGACCACTGCTAGATGAAACTCATGTTACTACTAGCAGCAGTATAACCCCCATCAGCAAGAAGATTGTGTGCGGTTATATACCCGGCTTCTTCATTGACAAGAAACAGTACAGATTGTGCCATGTCTTCCAGGCTCGGACTTCTTCCTCTTAAAAGACTCCCTCTCTCTCCAACAATCTTGCTCACTTCTTCAGGTTTCATATCCTTTTTCCCAAGGATCTGTAGGCACCAACAAGCATCTCTGAGGCGATACACCATGAGGGGAAATGCAATTGACACGAATTCCATGCACCCCTAGCTCACACGCAGTGCTCCTCGTCAATCCAATAGTAGCCTCTTTTGACATTGAATAAGGATGTGATCCAAGGCCTCCCATGATGGCTGCAGAGCTTGACATGCATATGATGCAACCTCCTTTCCGGCCTTCGATCATGACCCTTGCAGCGTACTTGATTCCATGTAGAATTCCGTTGACATTGACACAGAGCAGGTGCTTCACCTGCTCCATGTCTATGTTGGTGATGCTCCCTTCAGTGCCAGCGATTCCTGCATTGTTGAACATGATGTCTGGTTTTCCTTTCCATGTCAGTGCAAGATTTGCAGCTGATTCTACATCGGCTTCATTTACAACATCACAGTGCATGTATCGGCCTGATCCAATGGAATCAGCTGGGGAGGTTCCCATCTCGTCGAGTATGTCAGCAATGATAACACTCGCTCCATTTTCTGTGGCTGCCAAATCCCTCTTGAACCACCAGTTACAACAATAACTTTGCCCATCAACCTAACAAGCAAAATTCAATCATCCAAGGTAGCATTTTACAATTGGACATGGGTGAGATTACAATAATCCATCAAGAGGAGCACAAGAACCCTCATGAGGTTTAGATTAAATATATATATGTTTCATCATTTTAAATTCGTATGCTAAAATACTTGATCTGAACATTTTGGCATTTAAATTCCTTGAGGATTTCACTTCAAATAAGTTTCAGGAACTTGGCTCTCCCTGGAGAAAAGATAACCTCAACAAGGTCATTTAGATGATAAATAATGCTGGAACTCCCCTCTTAGAAGATATCCTCAGGACATCATCACAGTGTTTATGAACAACATGTGGCTCCATTTCATACCTAAAATGCCTTTTAGCAACTGCATGCTTACTTCACACACACACAAGGCAGCTCAAATTGTGTAGAGAGTTTAGACTAGTGGTGCTTTTTGAGAGGTTTATATGGTTCAACTTCTTCTTTTTCATTTTTTATTTTACTTTTTCGAGAAGAAGATGTTTATATTTTACTCTTACATGCTCTCTTCATTCCTTAAGTGCAACCACTTCCAAACTGTATGGTAGCAGAGCTTCGTTTTCTTTAATATCGGCGGCATCCTTCTTATTTAAAGGAATACAAAATGAAATGAATGCTTATATATATATATATATATATTCAAACAAGACTTTGAAAGGTAAATATTCGATCTAAGCAACTTGCCGGTTCATGACATTGAGAATTTTTCCAAGTGGAAAATTTCGCAAGCATATAGGTCGAAAAGTATAGCCATCTAAAAAACAGGAATTTCAATTGAGATCAAATTAGTAAATACATTCCGTAGTCGTTCCAGATTTAAATGATGTTAATATTATAATATATGACAATATTTTTATCCATTGAAAGATTTTTTAAAATAAAAAATTATATCTATTTTGTGTTTATAACATTTGAAACTGGGAATGGAAATATATTGTACTAGTGTAAATTATTATAATTTCACAAGAATTGAAATATTTTTATTTTAAGGTTTGCAAGTTATTTCTTCTTCGGAAATATTAAAATAGAAACTTGCAATTTGCAAGGGTATTGCAATTATAATTCTAACTTTTATTTATAGAAAAAGACGGACTCCAAAATTGAAAAGCAGAAGGCCAAAATAGCCCAATTAAAATTAACCGAAGCCACAAGTCCACAATCAAGAAGCCCACGCCACTATCCTCCGGTTGCTAAGGCTCCAGAACGTCAGGAGGACTGAAGTCTAAGAAAGAACGAACATTGCATTAGGCTTCGCCAGGCCAAGCCCCGAACGGAATCGAAACAAAAAGGGAGAGGAGAGGAGAACAGAACAATCGGAGGAGAGAAAGAGATGGAAGTGCCAGGATCATCAAAGCCAATGATAGCAACACAGGAAGAAATGGTTGAGGCAAGGGTCCCAATTCCATACAGAGACCAATGCGCCCATTTGCTGATCCCACTGAACAAGTGCAGGCATGCTGAGTTCTTTCTTCCATGGAAGTGTGAGAACGAGCGCCATGTTTATGAGAAGTGTGAGTATGAGCTTGTCATGGAGAGAATGCTTCAGATGCAGAAGATCCGTGAAGCTGAGGCCAAACTCAAACAATCACACAAGCAAGGAACCATCCCTCTCATCCCGAAGACTGCAAATGCTTAGTGTTCTGGTAAGTGGGTTTTTTCATAAAATCGGAGTCTTGATTGCTTTTTGTTGGATTTGGTTCGTGGGTTTTGTTGGGCTTTTTTGAGAACTTTGGGTGGTTTTGTTTAAGTGGATTAGTAAGTTTTGGTGTTGATTATCTAATGTGGTTTATGTTGCGGTAAAGCTTTGCAGATTATTAGGGCAAAATTTGGATGATTTTTTGTTTGATTGTGATTTAGGGGCTTGCCTTCCTATTGTTTGGTTTTCTGATTATCAATCTCTACAGGTTACTGATGAATTGTGATTTTTTCAGTGAGTTATTGAATTTGGAAATTTGGGTTTTGATTATATGACTTAGGTTGTGGTCTTGTCAGTCAGTAATTGATGGTTTTGAGCTTAAAGTAATGCTTTCTTGATGAAGTTTCAGAACAGTTTTGTAGGAGGCATCTTTTGTTTTCCTCTCTTCAGTGCTGCTAGATTATTTGTTTTTTTAATTTGTCTGTGTGTTATCTAAAGTCTCCATTAACACAAAGAGATTAGAACAATTTAGTGAACTAGGAGCCTAGGACTAATATTTAGTTTGGAAAGGGTTTTTAGGTTTGATTGGTTGTGGAGTGACGATTATTAACATGAATTGTGGAAGGATGCCCGGACCTTAGTTGGTGATGTGATATGTTAAGGCAACTCAAGTAGATCTGCTAGTTCAATATGCATGAGATTGTTCAATTTTTCTTAAAGCAAGAATATTTTTTCTTAAAGCGTATATTTCTCAAAGTATTGTGGATGGTTTCCCCAATTCCTGTGACCTTTCTCTCAAAACATTATAGTTAAGTGTCGGAATAGTTTCATTCATGTGCTTAGTTTCTTGTGAGTAGCTTGTAGTTCTATTGAATTTTTCTATGACCTCATGTATTATTCTAGGGATTTGATTGGTTGTGAAGTGGTGAATGTTGCTTCTGCAAAGTTGAGGTTCAAACATGGGTTGTGTAGCATATGCAGAACACGAAGGGGAAATTTGAAAGGGTCCCAGACTCTGGTTCATATTTTGATAGGTTGGGGTACTCGTATCAAGATGGATCGACTAGTCCATCCTAATAATGTCATTCAGCCTATTCTAAGTCCAAATGCTCAAATTTTGAAATGCAGAATGTATATGGAAGCCAATCATTTTACTTTGTATGTAATTGAGGAAATCCCTTTGTCATGTGGAACTGATTGGTGATCACTTCTCCATTTTTCTTCAGGGAACATTTTGGCAGTCGTAATCATGTGAGATGACAATCAGATGATTTTAAAGTCTCCCAAATTTCTCTATTAGGAATTTCTAGTTTCAGTTAAATTTGCAATCAATTCTAATGATTTGTTTTTTTCTTGCAAGAAATCACTAATTGAATTGGTAACTGTGATTTATTTTTGGAATCAGAGCCTGTATATTACTTTAAATTGCTACCTACCTCTGACTCTAGTTACTGAGCTACCTATACAACTAATCTAATGTAATATAAACAGACTCCTCTTGCATGGGGAAAAAAGAGGGGGTTAATTTCAATTATCTTTAGTCTTTGTGGTTTTGCAATTTAGAAGTAGGATAAACATTGACAGAAAGCCTTTGAAATTTTCTTCAGGAGTCCAAAACATCAATATGTTACTCTGTAATAAGTTTGGATGCGAAGAAACTATTAGAAGCAAATTTGGTACAGTAATGCTCAGTGCAGACACATGTCCCTTACAAAATCTTTTCCGTTTCTCATTTCAGCTCACATCCACTTTGAGAATAGCTCTTATCAACTCTGAGAATATTAAAGAGCAATATCCTTTGCGAATCATTTCTCCATGAGTTCCGTCTTTTCTGATTGTTTTATTTTATAAGAGGCTAAACTGTTGCCCTCGGATAGTGCATGAAAGACCATGACAACATGCATACCAGCAAGAGGTGCAACCAGGCATATTTAGCTTTAAATGTGATAGTAAAAGTATTTAAATTATTAAACCATCAACTTCAAGCAAATCCATAATTCAACCAGTCTTTAAAGGGAGTACCTGCCACATGTGATTATGTAATGACACGTAGTCTTCTTTCTAATTGATTTAGATATTGATGTACATGTTGTAATTGCTAGCAAAGAAGGTCATGATATTTGCCAATAGTGCAGGTGAGATATATTCGTACTTCATACAAGTCAAGTTTTTGTATTACATATTGCGTTTGGTTTTATACCTTCTTAGAACACTTGCAGTCGAAAGATGTGTACATGGGCATTAATGGGGATTGATCCACACATGGCTTGATTTTTCTTGATTGCTGCTGACGGTTTGGCTGTGTTTTTAAGATGAAAGAATAGCAAATATTCATCTACTCTTTATCTTTTGTAGACAGCTGACAATTTGAATGTTGATCTATTCGTTATTTTTTATACATCTAGTTTTCCTCTATGCGGTTACCGTTTACCTCCTACTCTTTTATTTTGTGTTTTGGTTTGTGGTTCTTACTCTGCTGTGCATGTTCTGCCCATTGACACTGGTGACAGGAAGCCTTCAAATTACTGAGATATGGGTCGTTCGGTGTTTCTGGCTGCTGTTGGCGGGAAGTTATTTTATTGGGAACTGTCAATCTGGAGACAAATGTTAAACACTCAATAATTTTCGAATATTTTGGGTTCTGCAAACTTGTTCATGGAATAAGTTCCTAACTAGCACTGACATTTTATGATTTCAATCTTTTACTGGATTTGAATTTGGCAAAATTGAATTTTATGGATGATGCTTGGGACATTAGCGTTGTTGTGTGGACACCGCATGTGCCATGGCTACTCTTTATGAGTACAAAAGTGAGTTTTACATAAGATGTGAGATTGGATTTCCAACATTGTTGATTTTCTTCTTCTTCCCTCATTTTATAGGGCGCTATTAAATCAAGTTGCGTTCATCTTTCTGGTTCTCTGCATCACAAGCGTGTGAAAGAATGTGATCGAAAAATTCTTGGTCACCCCCATTAATCTTTCTTGGGAGTTTGCGAAGCGATTGCATGCTCTTGTACAAATAGATGGAAATATAACATAACCTTATAAATGCTTGATTCTGCAGAGCGCCGTCCCAATTACTGTTGATTTGATTGGTAAATTTACATACCGAGCGTTGGAAGTTGATGCTTCAAAGGACTCAGTTTCGTTTTCTTCTTTGCTGGGGACCATTCATCATTCTTGTAGGAAAACTATGAAGCCCAGCTGAGATTTCAATAAATTGTTCGATGTCTGTACAGTTCAGCTTGCAACTTTCAAGAATGGAAATGCAAGCTCCCCATCTTATTATTTCGTATTACATTTATCTCGCGGTATGTAAGTAGCTATAACCAGGCCCACGAGGTACTACAGCTCACAGTTTGAGCAATGGCGAAGGCCTGTTAGACTCCCAAGAGCAGCCTTGCTTTGGCTAAGAGGGGATGCAGAATACTGAAAGACTAAAACATGCTGCCGCAGCCACGGCATTATTCTAAATCAATTATATAGCTGTAATAAGTTATTGTATACAAACAGAAAAATTATATAAAAAAAGAATTCATAGTGACATCTTTGAAATTTATTTTTCGAAGGTGAGATCGGGTTATTCAGAATAGTGCTGTGTAGCCCTGCAGGCTTGGATCTCCCGGTGTGTGAAAACAAAAATATCAAATTCTTGTCTTTCATTCCTTCTTTTTCCTGGAAAAAGGTCCCCATTGGATGTGTTTGAGGTTCTATACTTGCAGCATGGCCCTTCACCTAAAAGTTGCAATAAAAGTGTGAAACACGATGCCGCAATTCATGTCGTGTTTTTTGATATATTAGACAAGATGCATGGAATGAAGAATCCATCCAATTATTCAAACCTTTTGAAACGTGATTATAGTATAATTAATATCGTTACACAAATGCACACCTAGAGACTATTTCCACGTGATTTGCACCCAAATGCTCTTGCCCTGGTTAAGATTAGCCTGAGTTGGTAATCTTGACATGATATATTAAAAGCACTAGCAAGGACACCAGCTTCTTTTGGATTCCAAGTTTGAAAAAAAGGGCATCATCTTCTTGTTTCTTCTTCTCTCTCTCTCTTCTCACACACGCGCAAAGTCGGCTTTCGAGCCATGTGGGAATGAAAATGATTATGACATTAGTGTTAACAAAAATGGTAAAGCATTGCTTGCAGTAAAGGCTCTCTCAGTTTTCCTGATCTTCTGCTTTAATTTGTCATTACTACAAAGCGAAATACAGTGCGTGCCAATTACAGAGAGTCACGACCATCTTTTTTTATGATAGTCAGAGTTTTCTTCTTTTGTTCTTAAATCTTATGGGTTGAAATTAACAGTGCAATAGTGCTTGATCGATGACTCCTAAAAAATAAACTCTACTAATATATGTTGCCTTAGACAAGTCTAATGGTTTTTTTTGTTTTACTTTCAACATTAGTACATTTAAAAATACTTCTTTGATATTTTTTTTTTTTTGATAAAAACAGCTAAAAAAGGAGAGCTGAATCGCAAGAACGAACACTCCTGGAGTAAAGAATTTGCGGTAGCCATCAAGAAATGGCTTAGGAGTAAGGGACACGACACCTGTAAGATTTCTTACGTTAACATGGAAAGAAGTAGAAACCTCAGGAGAATGTTAAACAGGTGTCTTATAATCTTGGTGAGAATGAGGTAGAGAATACCTAACACGTTGATTTTTATTTTTCTTTTGGATCGTGTTTTCTAGAAGAATTCAATCAAAACTGTGTAGAATAAATTAAAAAAAGAGCAACTGCAGCACGTGTAAGCTAGGGAATGTTGAGATATTCTTGCCAGGTCAGGCAGTGCATCATTTTTTATATGGCTGGACCAGAGGTTCGAGCCAATCGATGAAATGAAGACAATCGACCTTGTAATATTCAACCACTGATTCCTCCCCTCAATTATCAAGATTCAAAAGTCAAGCAATGGTGGGTCCTGCTTCTTCGATCATCACATATTCCCTGCGCCAATTTGAAGTTGCATTTTTATGCTACGTCAAATATTAATGATATATCTTTTACTAATAAATTTGCTCGAAGAATCCATGATAGCATCCTGGGATTCTCGGAATCGATGATAGTGATTTTTTTATATTAATACATTAAAAACGATTTTAAAAAATAAGTAGAGAACAGTTTAAATTTCTTCAAAAATATCGCTTGAAACACTACACCCTTTTGTTTTGGCATCCACTCATGTATAATATTCAAATAACGAGGTTAAAGAAAAACACAGAAGAGGTCAAGAGTACTACTTCGTCGGTTCCTTGGCTTCTCTCCTCCACAAACAAAAGAAGATGGATATTGAGGTGCCAAATGCCGATTTCACAGACTAGAAGGGTGATTGATGGTTTGATATTCATCTGCCAACCTGCCAAGACGCCTGTAGCTTGCATTTCAGCCATGAAAAATAAAGGGGCGACACTGCACATGCTCCTTTATGTTTTTTTTTTGGTTTTTTCAAACACCTCAGCCTTGATCAAAAGTATTTTTTGGCCGCACATAAACATATGACAGGGTGATGACAAAACTAGCTAGAATTCATAGTCAAAAAACTACCCTATTTGTAAGTCTTTGAAAATTAATACAGCCACGGTAGCAATGCACTACGACTTTGCAAGAAAGGAAAAGTTCTATCACATCATTTTCGTGTATCATAATTAAGTTTCCAAAGGTTACTTCTAGGTCGTTTCAAATTTTCAACAAGGCATGTATAGCACGCTAAAGTTAAATGGACATGCATAGACAATGAGCATCGCAATACAAGTCCAGGACTCCCCATTTCTAGTAATCCCAGATGTTGTTTTAGCGAGAGAAGATTTTTCTTTTTTTTACTTTCTTAATTTGAATTTTAAAATTAGTAGCTGAGAAAATTCATTTCTTGAATGTATCGGAAAAGTATAAGGGATAGGACTTCTCTTCTTTTTTCTTCTTCTTTTTATACCACGTCAGCAGAGATTAGGTCAGCGTACAGTTTTCTGGTTTGTTTTTTTTATTAAAAAAAACTTAATTTCTCTTAATTTACAACTTGCAAGCATAACCTGATTTTGAAAACCCCAAAAAAAAAACAAAAAAGTAGAGAAAAAGAAAGCGAAAGCGAAAACGAAAACACTGATCCTTTGATTGCTTTTTATGTAAACTGTCATTTGTAAAAGATCGTGGGTCCTCGTTTGATCCAGCAAGGTGACTACTGATCCAGCAATGTGACTACAGAAGTTTTTAGAAGTGTGATTACATTATTTTTAAAAATATTTTTTATTTAAAAATATATGTTAACATAATTTTTTATTTTTTAAAAAATATTTTTAATATATTAAAATACTAAAAAAATTAAATTTAAAAAATTCTTTTAAAACATGAAAGAAATACTCTGGAATAGAAGTAACCGCAGCAAGGTTCTCTAAAATGTGAACAACTTACCTGTACCGGAAGCTCTTCAATCAAGAAAAGAAACTCAATTATTCAAACTTTTTACCTAATTCATCGACACGAGGTTGTAAAGTCAAGATGGTGGGAACCTTCCTTCAATCATTGTTCATTCCCCTAGATCATGAAAATGAATAATTTCAACTTTGATATAACCAAAAGGTTTCATTCCTCATTCCTGGATCTGCTGTTCGTAGTAGCTTTCCATGCATAGTTTATATATCCGGGTAAATTATTAAAGGATTGTTAGCTTCTTTTCACATTAATATTTTTTAAAACCCTATACATATATATATAAACATTCGTTAGACCAGAAATTATACTTTGTTTTCTCGAATAAATGCGGGCTCCATGAATGATTTGTACAATAGGGTTCGCATTCGGCATTTCTATGAGAGAAATTAATACAATTATTGATGCACTTAATACCTCAGTCAAAATAGCTGGATGCAATTCTCTCTCTCTCCAATATTTCATCTTATCACTTGCAAACGTCCCGATAATAGAAAAGGCGAGGCTTATATCACATTCCAAAGATGCCAGGTCTCATGTTCTATTGCTTGCATGAAAAAATTAAGAAACATACAAGTGAACACTGAATGCTACTCTCACATAAAGATGCTACTATCTCAAATCTTGGACGGATTGCATTTTGATCAAAACGGAGATATATAGATATTAAGTATGGGGTGGATCAACACTTTTGTTCTAGTTCCTGTACGTTAGGGCAAATTAGCTGGTTACATACAACTGTGGTTAAGTGCATGTAACTAAACACGAAGACTAGAGTTAAAAGTAAGAGAGAAAGAAATTGGCTAATTAAAGGGGTTAGAAAAACCTGCATCATGTCTCAATTCTAATGTCTCTTTCAGGGTCTATCATAATAGGAGTTGCTGTAGGTGACCTTGAGCCGAGATAAAGATGGGGAAAACGTTAGTCGAGGTGCTTTAGATGACCATCTTTTTGACAAACTTTGCTTCGCA